TGTCTGGATGAATAGCACCTGGCTTCATTCTATTTATACTAATCTCCTTATCAAATGGTTGCTTGGCCACATCCTCAGTTTTCTCTCTTAAACAAAATTTTGTATCTTTACATGGGTAGATTGAGTTTTCCAAATCTTTACACCCTGCATTCTTTTAATTATAAATTTCATCTTTAAATTTCTCTCACATTTTACATTTTACTATAAGTAGTTAAGAGAAGCCATAAAGCACCCTGAATGTTTTTCTGCTTCGAGATTTCTTCTGCCAAATATCTTAGTTCATTGCTCTTAAGTTCTGCCTTCTATGAAGTCTTAGGCCATGGACACCTTTCAAACAAGGTTTTTTGCCATCTTATGGCAGAAATGGCCTTTCTTCCAGTTTCCATGAAGATATTCCTCATTTCCACCTGAGACCTCATCAGAACACCCTTTACTGTACATATTTCTACTGAGATACTGTTCACAACCACTTAGATAATCTTCTCTAAGACTTGGGCTCTTTCTACAATTTCTCTTTTTCTGAGTCCTCACCAAAAGAATGCTTAATGCCCCATTCATGGCAATACAGGTTTTTTACAGCATTCACTTCAAAACTCTTCCAGCTTCTACCATTACCCATTTCAAAACTTCTTCCACATTTTTAGGTATTTATTAGAGCAACATGATACTCCTGTTACTAATTCTGACATAGCCTGTTTTGTGCTACTATAACAGAAACTGAGACTGGATAATTCATTAAAAAGCAGATATATATATTTTTTTATCTTATAGTTCTGTATACTGGAAAACCCAAGATCAAGGTGCAGGCATCTGGTGTTCGGTAAGAATCTAGTCTCCACTTTCAAGATTGTGCCTTGAATGCTGCCTGCTCCAGAGGGGAGAAACACTGTTCTTCACATGGTAGAAGAGCAGAAGACAGAGAACTCTCTCCTAACAGTCCTTTTAATAGTTGTACTAATCCATTCATGAGGGAGAATCCCGTATAGCCTGCATGCCCCACTTAAGGTCACACCTTTCATACTGTTGCATTAGAAATTACATTTCCAACGTGAATTTTGAGGGACATATTTAAATGATAGAAATTACCCATCTGTTTTATCATGTTGTTTACTTTTTCTATTAGAACACTTAGCATGTTAAACGTAGTTATTTTAAATCCTTTTTTTTTTTTTTTTAGATGGAGTCTCACTCTGTTGCCCGGGCTGGAGTACAATGGCACAGTCTTGGCTCACTGCAACTTCACCCTCCCAGGTTTAAGTGATTATCCTGACTCAGCCTCCTGAGTAGCTGGAACTACAGGAGTGTGCCACCATGCCTGGCTAATTTTTTTTTTTTTTTAAATAGAGATGGGGTTTCTCCGTGTTAGCCAGGGTGGTCTTGATCTCCTGACCTCGTGATCTGTCCACCTCAGCCTCCCAAAGTGCTGGGATTACAGGTGTGAGCCACTGCACCTAGCCATAATCCTTTTTTTAATATTTCAAACTGCTGTATCATATCTGAATCTTCTTCTGATGCTTACTTTGTCTCTTCAGACTGTGTGGGTTTTTTGTTTGTTTGTTTGTCTTGTTTTTAGAAGGTCTCTTAGTTTTTTGTTGAAAGTTAGACATCATACGTTGTGTAATAGTGACTGAGATAAATCTGGTTTAATGTTTGGTTTTATGCTACTCTTGCTATGAATTAAACTGTGTTTAATGCTTGGTGTAGCTTTATGTGACAGAAGCTTCAAATTCTTCTCTTATTTTTCTTTTGTCTCTCTTGTCAACTTTAGACTTCTCTAATGACTCCTTTTCAGAGAGAGTCTGTGTCCTGCTTCCCTATCAGTATTATCCAGTGCCATTTGATGGAGCCCTATTCATGTGTTATGAAGAACCATTTCACTTCCCCATTTCTTGCAACAGTCACTATTGGATCTTTCTCTTTCCTTAACATGAGAACCTGGTGGGGTTCCTACACGTAAAACATATGAATGTGTGAGGAATGTACTAAGTCTGAGGCCCTAGAAAATTTTCAGTTTTATACTGGTCTACATTCTACCTTCAACAATTCATCAAAATTACTATTTAAAGGTTTCTAGTACCTTTTTCTTCAAATACGAATATTTTCTGTATTTACCTATATTTTCAAGTTAAGAGATTGGCTTGCCTGGCAACCTCAGTTCTCCAATGGGTCCAAGAACGTGTTGCTTTTCAGTGATTGTGTGTGCAGGTGTGTGTGTGTGTGTGTTGTAAGGATATGTGTGACAACTTGCAGTTTCATTCCGTGTTAGAAATACAAAGAACCTAAATATTTTTTGTACCAAACACATATATCAAGTACATTAAAGTGGATGCCTGGAGCAGGGTGTGGTGTCATGCATAAAGAATGGAAGTGGAGAGAAGGCATATAGAGGAATAAAACAAAAGCAAATAATCTACTATAATAAAACTAGAGAGCAGTCTTGCGTGAACCAATTCTATGAGAGTATGCTACAAATTGAGGAAACTGATTAACTGTACATTTGCACTCAATGACTCAGCTATACAGTGGATTAAATTAGTTACTAGGAATGGAATCCACAAATCTGTGCTTTTAAAAAATATGATCATCAGAATATTTTGAAATTACCCTATAGTTATCTGGTATTATGCTCCTTGTATCTGTTCTGTGTTCTTTGTGTCTTATTTTCCTACCCTCCACAGCTGAACTTCAAAATTCTCCCTCTGAGTTTCCACCGAAGGACTTTTTGAACCCCTGTATCTTTCTCCAGTAGCCACAGCCAGCCGCTGGCTGTGCTTCATTTCCTGCAGAAGCTCAGTCACTTGGGTACTTATCGGGAGCAGCTGCTAGGCAATCTGGAGGGGAAGACAGCGATGCTTTGCTTGGGGGAGGGTTGCTTATGGAGGGAGAAAGCAGAGGCAATGGAGGCATTCCGAGGTCTTGGATTGAGGGTTTTCTGAGGAGTATCAGGGTGGAAAGAAGCATGATCAGAAGTCTCCCTCTCTGGTGCCTCCACCCCTTGGGGCTTCTAAGGTAAAAGCGCTTGTGATCTTCCCAGGTCTAGGGGCCCCAGAGTCAGTGAGGGTCACTGATGAGAAAGTAGAAACACTAGGTCACTGGAATCACCCCTGTGAAAGCCGCCCGCCTCAGGAAAAGATGAACCACTACCTGACAGCCTGGCCCATATTTGTACTCCTCAAATATATCCCTCTTCTCACACTGAGAATGACTCTTGGTTCCAGAGGTGAGATAAAAGCAAAGGAATTTAAAGCTGTCAAACAATCTATGTGGAAGTGCAGTATGAGAAACAGTACAGTTGTTTTGAAAAAACGATGTCCTGGGAGTTGGAAGACCTGCCTTCTGGGCCTGAAAGCTTGGCCAAACCTTGGCATAACCTTAGAAAAGGAAAGCCATCTCTCCTGGTCTTTGTTTCTACATCCTGTTGAATTGGTGAAATGTTGTTGGCAGTGAAAGTTAAAGAAAAAGAGAGAAACCCCGGGTAATTAGTTGACTGTAAACTCAGTATCGATCTGTGACATGATGTAACTCTGATGAAGTTAAGGTGACATTAGGCTACTTAAGGAGGGAGATGTCTGTTCTGTTTTGTTCTGCACTGATCAGATTGTCTGAAATACAAAGACTAATTCTTAATTATACTTTTAGAGGATATATTCAGGGGAGAGAAACTGAGGCAGTAAATGAGAAAACTCAAAATCAGGGAAATATATTATTAGGAGCAAAAAAGACCAGAGGAAAAAAATTTGCTTCATTTTATTACAATAGCTAAGATATGGTTACAACGAGTGAATGCTTGTTTTGTGTTAAGTAGTGTTTTAGCAACTTTGAGTGTACCGTGTCATTTAATTCTCACACTGTATCTGAGGGAATCAATGTGTGTGCCTCTGTGGGTATGTATGTGTGTGTGCATATGTGTGTTACCCTGTAGTAAAACTGATGAAACTGAGGTTTAATGAATGACATTAATATTTCTGACATCACACAGGGAGTGAGGATACCTGGATTCAAGTCTATGTGATTCTGGCAAAAGACCAGCCCCTAACTCATAACAGCCACAAAAGACGGCAAGAGTTTTTAAGTCTTTAAAGAATGTCACAGGTGCTCTGTCGGTCTCTAGTAGCAGAACCAGGACTTACATCTGGAAGTAAGTCCTGTATGACTTATGTGTGAAGTCATACAAGACATTTTGAAGATGAAATTCACCTCAATTATGTACTTCTTAACAAATAAAGCTGTAAGACAACTGGATGAGTATCTCACTAGAGTGAGTGACTGGAGGCATTGAAACAGAGGCGAGGCAAATATTCATCTGGGATATCTTTATGGCCATCCGTGCATGACAGAAGGTGGACTAGATGAACTCCAAGGTCATTTCCAACCCTAAGGGTTTATGGCTCTTTGATAACCAAGTTCTAGCATGTTGTAACCGCCTGTGCTCCTAAGAGTTCACTACACATGCAGTATTTATGTGAATGATTAAGACGGGCTGCTATCAACATTCCTCAGAGAAACATAATAAACAAAACAAACCTTAGAATTTATTTATTCCTTACACAGTTTTAGTCACTAAGTGCTTTACACACTTTAAACCTCATAACAACATCTCATAAAGTCTATTTTTTAATCATTTTACAAAGGGGGCATCTGAGATGCATAGTAGTTATCTTGTTTTCTCAAGTTCACAAGGCTAATAGGTTGCAGAAGAGGAACTGGAACTCAGACCCGTCTATCTCCCAACGCTTCTTCCTCACCATTCTGTTATACCACTTCCCTCTACATGGTAAAATTTCTCTTATTAATAAGAAATCTGAGGCTTAGATTAAAAAAAAAATTTTCTATAGACTCAGTAATTTCCTAGTTGCCCTATGCTCTCGCTATACCTGAACAGCATCATTTAATACTCTCAACAGTTCTCTTAAGTGGGTATTATTACTCTTGTTTTACAAATACAAAAATGAGAAGCAAAGAAACTGAGTACGTCATTTATCTTGGTGACACGCAATAATTGGCAGGACCAAAATACCTTTGCAAACCTGGATATCTTCACAACGAACTCACTTGACTCAGCTCAACAAGCAGATGTTTAATGCCAAGAACATGTTGGCTGTCTGCGATCCCTGCTATGGCTGCTACCTAATGGCAGCTGCCATTGTTAGTGACCGCATGTCCATGAGGGAGGTGGATGAGCAAATGTGTCACATCCAAAACAAGTACAGCAGCTACTTTGCTCATTGGATCCCCCACAATATGAAAAGAGCTGCCTGTGACATCCCACCCCTTGAGCTAAAAATGTCTGTTACTTTCACCAGTAACAACACAGCCATCCAGGAGCTGTTCAGGTGTATCTTGGAGCCGTTCACGGCCAAGTTCAGGTGCAAGGCCTTCCTGCACTGGTACTCAGGCAAGGGCATGCATAACATGGAGTTCACTGAGGCCGAGAGCAACATGAAGGATCTGGTGTCTGAGTATTAACAGTACCAAGACACCACACAGAGGAGGAGAGAGAGTTTGAGGAGTGGGCCGAGGAGAAGGTGGCTTAGACCCTTCTGTTACTGGGTGAAGGGTGAAAGTAGCATGTATTTTTTAATCACTCACAGTGTTTTCTATGATAGCCACACCTCACTGTGTGTGCACTTGCTGTGTGTTCACCTCTATTAAAACCTTTTCATAAAATAAAAAAACTCTCAGAGAAACATAATAAAATCTCATAAATTAAACAATAAAAATACATAAAATAAATAAATGTGGACTGGCCAAGTTCACAGTTAAAAAGCTAAATGATTTGCTTAGAGCCTTGGGAAATCACAACCAAGAATCTATTTTTTTAAAAACCTTAGTTAATTCTGTTTTTCACACACCAGCAATGCTCATCATAGAAAGTCAATAAGTGTGCTTGACTCTGTTTATGATGACTAGAACTTCGAATCTCATTTTCGGATTCATTCATACTCCACAAACAAATGGAATGAGTGTTTTCTATGTGTGTTTCACGAGGTGCTAATACAAAGCAGTTTTGGACAAATCTGTCTCAAAGAAAGGAGAACCTGTGTCTGGACTCTGACATAAAAACAAAACAAAAAACGAGACTCAGGCCCAGAGGAGATCCCTTCCCAACAACAAGGAAATAAATTGATAGCAAAAGATGACTTTCTTCTGCTGAGTTCAGATTTGGCTCCTGAACTCTGCAAAAGGAAATGAGGGACTGAATTTATTTCTGAAGCGCATTTGAAAAGGGAGCCATCTTTCCTCTCTGGCTGTTTTTCTTTTTTTCTTTTTTTTCTTTTTCTTTTTTTTTTTTTTTTAAGTATCAAAAGAATCCTTAGACACGTAGGGAAGATGGGTCAACCAGTCAAACCCCCATGATTTCCTTCAGTCTTCTGCACATCTCATAAGTGAGGATTTTCTCTCAGAAACCACAACAGCATGCAAGGCAAGCTCAATAGTGCAATGAGTTTTCACTGCCAAAGAGTTAGCCTCATCCTCACAGACAAGACACCAGGACAATGTTTTCCTACCATAATGTTGTGAGGAAACCTGAGCACCCAGAAATCTAGGTGACTTTCATATTTCTAGCACATTGCTCCACAAAATGTGGATTTGTAACCTTGGTAGTTCCCAAATGTTTGTATGTAATACTTGTGATGATTGAAGGCATTCTTGAAATTGAAAAGGGCACTCAAAAATTGTAGATGGTACACAATTCCAGTGCTAAGGAAAAGTGAATCACGATGGCAGAATTATTTTTATTTCAATTTTCTTCCAACTGTTTTAATTAAGTCAAGGAAAAAATCCTTCCAATTTTGGGATAAAATAGGTCTTCAACACCTAATTTAACACCCCTTTAAAAGAAAAAAATTGAGACAGATTCTCACTTCATCACTCATGCTGGAGTGCAGTGGCACAGTCTTGGCTCATTACAGCTCAACTTCCCAGGCTCAAGCGATCCTCCATCTTCAAACTGCTGAGTAGTTGGGACTACTCAGGGGGTGCACACCACCACACCTGGCTGATTTTTATTTTTATTTTGTATATATTGCTCTGTTGCCCAGGCTGGTCGCCAACTCCTGAACTCAAGCAATCCTGTCTGAGCCTCCTAAAGGGCTGGGATATTTTTGTTTGTTTGTTTTTTAACAAAGAAGAAACAGACCTCATCTCAAGATCCTTGGGCCACTAAAATATCTAACTAGGATTCAATCAAATTTAAAGCTACAGTTGATCCTCATTATCTATGGATTCCGTATTTGTGAATTCATCTACTTGCTAAAATCTACTTGCAATTCCGAAATACTCACAAAGTTTCTGCAGTCATTCAAACATGTTCAAAGTAGTGAGAAAGTTTGAGTTATTCTACATGCTTGTTTTCAGCTTATGTTGAGTAACGTAACATTCTGTCTTCTTGTTTCAGATCCCACGCAAGTGTCCTTTACATGGTCTATTTAGTGTTACGTTTTTGGATTTTGGTGGGTTTTATTGCTAGTGATTTTGTTGTTGAAAATGGCTTCTAAACACAGTACTGAAGGGCTGTCTAGTGTTCCTAAGCACTGGAATGCTGCAATGTGCCTTACAGAGAAAAAACATATGTTAGATAAGCTTTGTTCAGGCATGAGTTATAATGCTGTTGACTGTGAGTTGAATGTTAAAGAATTGACAATATATATTAAATAACGCATCTTTAAACAGAAACGTACATGAAACACATGTATGTATTGATTGATTGATAACAACACGTGACTACAGGCTGGAAGGAACTTAATTTAACCCTGTGCTTTTCAGTTTATTTCCTCAAATGCGCCTCACTATGTGAGAAGTAATTGGGTGAAATAATTCATTATTCACTGATTCTATGTTTGCAGACACTTTATAAAACATAACTACTATGAATAATGACAGTCTAATTCTCTTTTAGGCAAGTGACTTAAAATTTTCTTTTTATGATGGTATTATTTAAATGAATTTATTTAAATTAAAAGCAAGTCAATTTAAATAAAAACACTTAAGTTAAAAAGAATGGTACAGGGTACAGGTTGTTTACTGTCATAGCAAAACTTGAAAGCAGTAAGGGAAAACCTGAAGTCTGTGGGTCACTAGTTTAGCCAAAGCTTTCTGAGTCATCTTGCCAGAAGATTTTACCAGTTATTGAGCCTTGGTGTCCTTATCTCTGAAATGATTATTATACCATCTCACATAGTGAGCTGCATTTGAGGAAATAAACTGAAAAGCACTTTTAAACCTACCTAAGAGCAGGCCATGGTGGCTCATGTCTGTAATCCCAGCACTTTGGGAGGCTGAGACGGGTGGATCACCTGAGGTCAGAAGTTCAAGACCAGCCTGGCCAACATGTTGAAATCCAGTCTATACTAAAAATACAACAATTAGCTGGGCATGGTGGTGCATGCCTGTAGTCCCAGCTACTCAGGTGGTTGAGGCACGAGAATCGCTTGAACCCAGGAGGCCGAGGTTACACTGAGCCGAGATCATGCCGCTGCACTCCAGCCTGGGTGACAGAGCAAGACTCATCTTAAAACAAAACAAAACACCTACCTAAGAACCTTATCAATAGGAATGAGGCATCGCCACAATGACTGTTGTTTCCTCTTGTTGACAAATTGTGAGGATTACCAGCTAATCTGAGCTCCTATGCTACTGCAGTTCCATCTGTCAGAAGAAAAGAAAAGAAGAAGAAAAAAAGCACAACTGACATGCCCCCCCCACCTCCATTACCCACTAATAATGAAAAAGTAATGATCTTTTTTCCCATGTTGGTGAATATTTTCCCTGTCAACTCTGATATGCTCATAATGCTGGCAGACAGATTATTTATGACCAGGGAAATTAAATATTATTTCATTTCTCCTAATACAATCTGTGGCATCTCCCAGCTCCCAATTCCTTCCCATTAAGGTTATTGTCTTTTCTGCTCCAATTGGCTGCATGCTGTTGGGTTGTAACAGCACTGGCAGAATGCTTGGAGCATAATGGAGGTGGGAGAAATGGTGTAATTTGCAAGACTGCCTTCCCCGTCTCATCTAAATGAAGACATTTGGTCCCTGCGAGTCAAAACCCATTTTGATGAGTCTAGATGCATTTGGACTAATGGAAAAGGACAGCCATAGTTGTAACGGACTTCCTGAACTGGGTTTTCTTACTTAGAATCACAGAATTTCGGAACTTGGCAGGTGATTCAAGTTCATCTGTTTTAAGTCTCTCATTTGGTTGGGGGAAACTGAGGAGCAGAGAAGGGCATTCATACAATGACACCTCTGGTGAAAGAGCACTTTTTTCCTTTCCAACCTCTGTTCAATATTTTCATACTTTCAGTATGATTTAGATCCCCATCAGGAGCCCACGCCCTTCTCTAAGCACTGAATGATACGAGTACCTTTTATAAGGGCCGGAGGCAGGAATCTTTCCCAAACAGGGGTTTGTGCCTTCCAGCCTCTGTGCCTTTGTGATTTCTATTCTTTCAGGTAATATCAGCTAGAGTGTTCCTCAAGAGGTGAACTGGGGTATTTTGGGGACCTGCATGGTGGCTCAACTTCTTCCTCTACCCAAGCCTGTTTTCCTTCCTTCTTTTCATAGGTATTATTTCTAATATCAAATCCAATCCCAGTCCCTGCTTCAGGAAAACTCAACCCGTGACATTGAGGAGGCGAAATGTAAGATAAGTTTCTTCCTCCCTTATTCTTAGATTTATTTCACACCTGCTTTGTGCCAAAACTGATACAGATCTGGTGTGTAAAAATATAGTTCCTCCTAACTGAAAGCAACCAGCTGGATAGCAGAGAGACAATAAGAAGCAATCATGTTAAGCCACTGTTTAATGCAGACCATTGTTAAACCTCCTGACTAAACTACTGCAATATAGCCCTTGCTTGTATTTCACTTTCCATGTTGTTCCCATTTATTCATCAGCTGAAAACCCAAGTCTGATCATGTTACTTCTTGGCTTAAAGTCTTTTAGTGGGCCCAGCGCTGCGGCTCACGCCTGCAATCCCAGCACTTTAGGAGGCTGAGGCGGGTGAATCACCTGAGGTCAGGAGTTCGTGACCAGCCTGGCCAACACAGTGAAACCCTGTCTCTACTAAAAAAATACAAAAAAATTAGCCAGGCATGGTGGCATGCACCTGTAATCCCAGCTACTCAGCAGGCTGAGGCAGGAGAATCACTTGAACCCAGGAGGCAGAGGTTGCAGTGAGCTGAGATCACACCACTGCACTCCAGCCTGGGCAACAGAGCAAGACTCCATTTCAAAAAGAAAAAAAAAAAACTCCCTTAGTGAAGGGTGATAACAGTTGAAATGAAGCCCCAGTTCCTTATTTAGCTCTTGCCTATTTCCTCAGTATCATTTCTTTCAATGTATAATGCCTTTGTAACACTGACCTGTTTTTAGTCTCTGAAGCCCACCCATGGGCTCTTCCCTATCTCAAAGTCTTAAAACTGTGAACTCCAAAAATCTGAGAAAGGCTTCAGTT